TTTCAAACCATTTTTTAAACATTGATGACCTAAGGTGAAAATCAATCATGTTGAAGTAAACTCGTGCTAACATATCTTTTTTCTTTCACAAAGCTTTAAAAAAATTAGATTTCAAAAGAACTTGAAGTATCAATTACAAGGGCAAAATTGGTTGTGCTGTAGTCTAGCCCAAATTTGGTGAATAATAATTAGTAGGTATGTTAGACACTGCTAGTTAGGTTGATGTATTCATCGGAATTTTGAATTCGCTTTAGATACAGAATCAGTGACTACAACTCAGTTAGGAATATGATGATATGTCATATTTCTTATAATACAAAATGTTGTCGTTTAAAGATTTGTCTGGCTTTGCCTTGCTATCCGGTTTATTTTTGTTAGGAAGCTAAAACCAAATGCCTAATAAAAAAGGAGGTAATGCTCTAATGCTACGTATCATCCAAGTTAAAACCAAAGCAACCCACCACTATAGATGGTGGGTTGTTTTGTGGCCATCTTATGGTCATTCGAGCTATCACAAAAATACTTATATTTTATTAGCACTCCATATATTGTTGAATAAATCCTTTGAAAATCAAATACAACAACATCGATCATTAAACGGCTCTCTCTCTCTCTTTGTTTCTCTCTAGAAACCCAAATCCACAAGCTCCATCACCAACTTCAAGCTCAGCCACCGACCCTTACTTTTGCTCAAGGTAGGCAGTAGCCCACTACTATTTCTTCCCTCCTCGTTCCCTCATTCCCTTCCCTTCTCTCTCTTCTGCCTTTTCCATCTTTTTCCTTCTCTCTCATCTCATCTGCTTCATCCCCTTCCCTGCATCCACCTCTTCTTTCTCTCCCCTTTCTAGTCTCCTCAATTCGTTTTTATTCCTAGTTTTCGCCTGAGTTTATGTTAGTTTCCATTGAGTCGAGTCTCAACTATCCCCTGAGCTTGTCTCATATTTGGGTTTCATGCCCCTTACCTGGCGTTTTCGCCTACTTTTATGGCTTTCTGCCTTTTAATTTTATTTTCTCCCTCATCCTTAGTAGTGATACTCCATCCCCATCCCACCATGTACTTGGATGGGCAGGCTTCGATCCGAAATTGGATTTTATATCCACTACCCTCCTTCATTTTCCCTCATTCAACTGGCATGTCGGATCTCCATCGAGACCAAGTGTTGGGTATTTTACATACCCCCTTAGCCTCACTCTCTATCCATATGATATTTTGTTTGTATATATTTGCTCTATTCTCTCAGTTCGAAGTTTGGCTTCCTCCTAGGATGTGGCGGCGGTGGCGGTATGACTTATGTTGCTTGAGACTAGGGTTTTTTGTTGTTTGTTATCGCAGCCTACGTGCCTAAGTTTGTAAGGGCCTCCCGTTGTATCTTGGGTTGCTGTTCTCACTTTGCTTGGGCCTTTTACTTTATCTGCTATAGTTTATCGGGTTCCTTTTGGGCCTTGTATTAGTTTTTATTGTAATGAAAGTTTATATTGACAAAAAAAAAACATTTGAAAATATGCATTAAATAACTTATATACCTTTTTTTTTTTAGGGAATTGTTATTAGCACTCCAAATTTTCTATAATTAAAAAGAAAAAATACATTTTTAAAGAGTGTGTAATGAGATTTTTTAAGTGCTAATAACAATTCTTGTGCAGCAGTGTTCTATTTGCAACTCATATGCATCCTTTTTCATAATTTCTCAAGTTCCACAGGTACTTGTTGCATTTGACTAAATACTTGTGGATGCAGGTATAGAGTATCAAATTTGTCTCAGGTGCAAGATATCGAAGAAACCGAGTTATAATTGTAGCATTAACTTCAGTAGCAGTTATTCAGGAGCATGAGTTTAGTTTCGAGAACCATCGATGCTTTAATATAGTGTTTTGCCAATTGTTCAGGTTACTTGGTGTTGAGAATTGAAGATGTGTGTTGGAGTTAATGACCCTCACTGGTGGACGCACGCCTCCCCAACCATTAGAGGACCTTTATTGTCTGTTACAGTAGATGAAATCAAACTCTTGACCTAGAGAGCAAATTTTTTGTGTTGTATGGCAAATTGCCTATGTTGGATATAGTTGTTGGGCGCCCATACTGGTGAATAACCACACATTTTCCCTTCATATGAGTATGGTCTCTTATTTCGCAATTCAAAATGCTTTACAATTTATGTTATATAACTATGTAAAGCCATATATTGCGGATTTGATGATGATCATCATTCTATATGCTATTGGGAATTGGGAAAGTTGATACATTGGTCAGTTTGATTTGGACGGTTTTTGCGATATAATTGATCGCTTACCCCGTACCCTTGGGGGTTATTGTGTTCAACCCGTCATGTGCGGCCCAAGACACAAGATTTCGGGTGTCTGGGCCTTACATGCGAGAGAGTCTTTTGTTTGGACACCTGACTAAGGGCAAAAGACAGGGGGTGGGACCTGAAAGTGGGCTATGGTGAGCCTGCAAATAAGAGAAGTAGGTAGGAAAATTGCATAATTTGGATGCCAAACCATAGAATTTCTCCTTACGTGCAAATGTGAGATAGGGAAACTTTTTGTTTCAAAGTCGGAGGAATATGTTAATCCAACCATCGGACTTCAGAATTTCTCCTTACCCTAGGCCCCCCAAACATCAATTGCCTTTTCTCATGAGGACTTCCATGGTAAAAAGGACTAGGATTATCTCTTCTTTTCCTTCCATCCCCTCCTCTCACATTTTATATTTTATCTTTCTCTTTCTATATAAAATTAATAAATTAATATAAGATGTTAACATAGCTTAACCGTGACTGTTCAAATAGGAAGGGAGGGATGAGAAGGAAAAAAAAAAAAAAAGAATCCTACTCCTAGTAAAAAAAAAAACATCGACTTCATGCCACGTATCTTAATACAGCAGACTCTAGTTCTTAATACGGCAGACTCACTAGAGTATAATCCGTTTTGTTGAATGTGACCGTTACAAAAGGGAAGGTCCAACGGAGCTTTCTACCGCTTTTCAAATTTTAAAATTAAAAATTAAAAAGGTAAACAAACAATTTCTTCCCCTACTTTCTTTATCTCTGTCACACAGACCAACCCTCATTCATCATCGAAACCCAGAGATTTTCAATCTCAATCTCACATCTCTTTCTCTTTCTCTTCTATCTTCTTTGCTCCGTCACCGCGTTCGGTCTCCGATTTCAATGGCAATGGCTCTCAGACCCATCGACAATGCTCTCCCAACCACACCGGAAAGACCCAAAAAGCAAACCAAAGTTGCTGTTCCTATGCAAAAGCAGCAATCCGGCCTCGTAAATGACGAAAATCAGGCTCCGCTTCCTGCAACCGCGGATTTCGCCATCGATTACATCTCCTCTGAGAATCTCAAACCCATCTCAGACCCGGATCTCAAGATCCAGGTAATTCTCTCTCATTGGATGTCCCTTGCACGCGAATTCGACTCCCTTCATCTGTGTATTAAAGTAATTTATTTGAAATTTCAGAGCTTGAGTGAGGGATTCGAATCAAAGGATTGGGTAAAGGTGTGTGAGTCTCTGAACAATGTTAGGCGTTTTGCACTCCACCATTCTGCTCTTCTGGCTCCTACTCTGTGAGTGCTTTTCTTCTTAGTTCCAACTTTCGATTCTCTGCTGTAACAAGTCCACTAAAACGACGTCATTTTTGTATGTACAGAGAGAATGTTGTAGTGGTGCTGGTGAAGGCAATGAAGAATCCGAGAAGTGCCTTAATCAAGACCTCGATTATGGCTTCTTCCGACATCTTCACCGCCTTTGGTGATGGTTTACTTGACTCCGCAGCCTCTAATGCATTTGACCAATTGGTGTGCACCCAAACTTTTCTTGTTTTCTTAAATTTAGGGATCGTTTGACAACAATTTCGTTTTCATTTTTTTTATGTTCTGATGAACGGCTTGGATTGTTCAATGGGTTCACAGCTGCTGCAATTGCTGCTCAAGGCATCTCAAGACAAACGTTTTGTGTGTGAAGAAGCAGACAGGGCACTGAGCTCAATGGTGCAGTCCTTGACCCCTCTTCCTCTGCTTCAGAAGCTCCGAGCTTACGCTTCCCATGGCAACCCCAGAGTCAGAGCCAAAGCTGCCGTTTCCATCGCATCTTGTGTCGCCAAGATGGTATATACTATGAAACCAAAATGTTCTCTTGAGTTTTGACGTTGGACATGCCATTTTTCTTGTTAACCTTGTTATGGAAAATGGGAATTTGGTACCGATTTTCAGGGCCTTGAAGGATTGAAGGATTATGGGCTGGTTTCTCTGGTACAAAAGGCTGCAGATTTGTTGAATGATAGGCTGCCCGAGGCGAGAGAAGCAGCGCGGGGAATTGTGATGTCGGTATACAATGCCTATACAGAGAATGAAGAGGAGAAGCTGCGGGAAAATGAAGAGGAGAAGCCGGAGAAGCAGGAGATTTGGTTAAGCTTTTGCCAGTCTAATTTGTCAACAATTCATGCTCAGTCCATGGTCAAAATTACTTCTTCTCAGTAGAAAGGTTAGAAGAAGACGGTGGATTAGGGGTTGGGTTTTGCTGGTAGTAGAAGCTAATAGTGGGAGTGCTAGTTTGGTTTGTGATTCTGCTGGTAGCTTTTTAGCTGCAGTTAGAGTTTGAGAGTGCTATGAATTTACATCTTCCAGCTTCGTCTAAAAGCTGTTTTTACGTAATTTTATGTTGATGAATTTCTTCGTTTAATAAAATTTTCGTTCTTGATAATATCAAGATAGCCGACCGACCCCACTTAGTGGGAAAAAAACTTTGTTGTTGTTGTTGTTGTTGTTGTTGTTGATAATATCAGAAATAGCGAAATAGTTGCAGAACGGTAGTAATTTACCAGCAGTGCAAGTAACCAAACCAACCCCTCTCCGACTGTCTCAAAGAATATCTTTGAGATCTACAGGGAAGCAAGCGGGCGGTTATATACAGGGCGACTCAAAGACTTCACTGTAAAGAAATTTTCAGCTGTGTTCTGGTGTCTGCGATTAGAACGTGCCACAATGAAAGTCAGCAAATAATTTCACCAAAAATCGAAATCATTTCAGCTCTCTTCCCACAATATATTGTCTCTCAGTACGAACAAATACATGGATTCCTACAGTTGAACTATTTCCTATTCATTTGAAAGAAGAGAAATATCACACGACAGAAATACGAAAATCTCTGTAACTGCATTTCACTATATTTTCCTACAACGGGGTCATTCAACGCTTCCCTTGCATGTTACCAAAACCACGAGGAGACCTTCGCTTGAGATCAGCAGACCCAAGCCATCGTAATATCAGGAATGTGGCAGAACTCTGAAACCAAAAGCATTCCTGATTGGCGGAAGAACTCTGAAAGAGGAAAAAAGTCTAAGCACTTCACTCTTGTTCAACCAGAGAGCGCAACGCTGTCTCAACTTCTTCAAAAGGTTGCCCGGCATACAGCTGAAGCTGCCCTCTCTTCACAAAAATCAGCTTCATGTTATCTGACTTTATGGCTTCGCGAAGTTCCTGCAAAACATAAAGTTGCTTTATCATCTTAACACTGATGACTTGAATGAAGAAAAATGCATGTCTAATGGGAAAAATTGTACTTTGAACACTTTTAAAAGTTGAAACGCCGACTCCTTTGTCCTCATGCAATGTTCAGCAGCTTCAGACTCATAAATATTGAGTAAAAGTATGAGTAAGTTTTGTGAAATCAAATTAGAATTATTACTTTGTTTGGTAAAGGAACAATATCAGCCCTGAAATCACCCAGATCTTCGAAAAAAGTTTCCAATAGTATACAGAAGTTATTGGCATCAGTGCGGTGTTCGAAAGCGACAGTATAGGAAAAATCACTCTGGCTTTGGTGCTGAGAACTGAGCTTTAAGGTATAGAGTCCGCCTTGCCCCTCGCTACCAGAACCTCTACGGATCATAATAACCTGACATGGGATACATAGCAATTTGACTGTTAGTTGGAGACAAAAAGCTTACCCAAATACCAAAATAAGACACAAAAAGAAGAGCTTATTGATCCGATAAGTAAAACTTGTGAACGTAATTCATAACGGAGCATAAAAGGGAAAATATACAACTAAAATGGCATAACTATAGAATGAGTGACTGAATCATAAAGCATAAGATAAAGATTGCAAGTATCCATTTTATGACAGCATCAATGAGTGCTTAAAGTTAAATAGTTGGCTAAGATGATTTGGTCAAATGCAACAAAGTTCAATTGCTAAACAGGCAGCACAACTTATAAAAAAATGTAAAGATAGAAAACTACGAAAGAAAATTAAGAAAAGTTTCGGGATATACCAGAACATAAGGAAGATCCAACCACCACGGATCAATATCATTCTTTGATCGATTGCCACTGACTTTGTTAGCCACTGGTTCCTTTTCAGCTTCTTTGTTTTTTGAACTGCCATTTACACTCAATACAGCATTATCACCAGATTTTATGGTAGTTTCCTGAATTTCTTTCTTTGAGGAAGACTTTTTCTTCCCCAACGCCCTTGATTTTCTTGACTTTACTCCTTCAGAGGACTTCCCTCGTCTTTTCTTCTGGACGGTACCTACAAAGTTTAACAAATTAATAACAGAGCCAAGCTAACAACGAAGTATGCAGTCTTTGTGCAATTCAAAAGCTTTACCATTTTGTGGCTCAATAGTTCCAGCTCCTATGTCGTTTCCGCTATCCATACTCCGAGTTCCTTTCTCCAAATGGTTCCCGTCATTTTGCAACTTGGGTTCGTCCTCTACGGTCTTGGAAACACCTTGTCCAATATCACTCTCTCGCTGGTTTTCACCATTATCCGAATCCAACAATTCTTTACCATCACTACCAACACTTGCATCTCCCGCCACTGTATCTACACCGCCCGAACCTCTCTTTATCCTCCTAGATTCACCATGCTCATCCAAACCCCCAAACCCCTTGGGATTGCTTTTCGCTTCGGCCTTAAACTTGACCTTTTTCTTAAACAGCAATGTCCCATCCTCCTCTTTAGAATTCCCATCTTCTACTTTCTCATTCTTTTCCATATTACTCACATATGGACCCTGCAACTTCTCCCTTTTAGAATTCAAACTCCTCTGCAACCTAACCAACCGCTCTCCGACCTCTTTTTCGATGCCTATTCTATTCCTTGCATCAGAAATATCATCTTCATCACCGATACTTCCCTTCTTCAACTCCCTTTTCTCCGACTTTCGTGCTTCCCTCGCCATTGCTCTAATTTCCTCTATCCTCTCGTCCAATTGTATCTCGTCCAAAGAAATCACATTGCCCAATTCAGACCCAACATTCGAATACAAAGCTTTCCCTTTCGATTTGCTTAAAGTTTTCGACTTCCCAGTTTCCTGATCAGGATTATCATCTCCCAGCAACCAAACAGTAAAAAAAGCCTGAAACAAATAAGCCCCAACCACATACGCCCCAAATTTAAGGACGGACTTGGCAGAAAATTTACCAACAATGCCATTTTGCTCGGGGGTCGTCACAGACACGCTCAGTTCTTCAACTGTATCGCCTTCTGCGGCAACGACGTCGCTTCGGTCAGAGCTAAGTTCGGTATTGGAGTCGTTCTCGGAAGGAGTTACCGGGGACTCAATGGGAATTACAGGCTCCGTCGGGGGTAGTTCGGGAAGGAGAGGGGTTTTGGGTGGCGGGTAGGGTCGAGTTAGGGTTTTGAGGATTTTGGGGCGCAAATGGTTTCTCCGTCGGGTGGGTTTTGACGGTACGGAAACGGAGGCTGAGAGGATTGGTTTGACTGGTTTGGCGGTGGAGTGGATTGGGTGTGCGATGACAAGGGAGGTGGCGCAGTGCGCACCCGCCATTGGTGGTTCAAGAAAGGAAAGGAAAGGAAAGGAAATGCTGCTTTGGTTTGAATTTCAGCTGGAAACTGTATTTGGAGGGGCTGGTGCGAGATAATTTGCGCCATGTGTGAATGTTTGGGAACTTAGCAGGTGAACGGTCAAAGTCCTAAAAGCCCATTGACTGAAGGAATGGGTGTTGTCATATTGTGGGCCAATCTTTTCTTTTGTAGTGGCCCAATATTTTAGTTCCTTTCAAGGTGAGCCCATCTAATTTCTAAACCCAATCCACAAAGGAGTGATTCTCTTAACTTTTAATCTCTCTCTCATTCTCTTTCCCGTATTTAAAGGGTTACGAATAAGACATGTTACATCTTGTGTTGACTTTTTTTATAGAGAGAAAGACGAAGAGGAAAGTGTGAAAGAAGGGGAGGGAAGGGGATAGAATTATGAGGCGAGGAGAGCGAATGAGATAGAATTAGGAGAGAAGATAATCCCACTTATAGACAAAAGGACGAAAAAAGAAAAAATCGAAGAGAGAATTCACTTTGTCAACTAAAGATAACGTCTTTTAACATTAAAAAAGTTGTATCAATAACGAGTTTGTAACCAATTTATTCCCTACCCTTTAGTGTGATTATATCAAACTTTGAAAATTATGGATTTTTTTACCACAAGATTGAGGATTTGGAACTCAAAATTCTAATAATTTTTGTTTTGTGTTAATCCGGTGTTAATCTAGTTAATGGTGAATTCAAAAAGTTTTCTTACTGATTACAAGATGAAATTCGCACGTCACTTTACGTAGTTGTTATTAGCTCCTTTCCCTTGCTTATTCTCTTTAATGTAATGGCTACATAGTAGCTTTCCTTAAAGAGAGCATCAAAAGAACATTGTGAAATGACATGAACTTTTATGTAGACCCGCCAAGTTTTATGAAGTTAGTATTAAGTGTCCAATTACTAGTTACAACTTAGTTTGAGATGGTTACATGTATTAATGCACATTTACCATCTCTAATAGGAAGCTTATATTTGGAGCACCCATTGTATATTTTTAAGTCAAATGTGTGAAGTTTTATTCAGAGCATAAAAAAAATAGAAAGTAAATAAAACGACAAAAATTTTGTACCGAATTTAACACTTTTAACTTTTGATGCATTAGAATGCGGTTGTGGATGCTGAAGTCCCAAATTATAGTGTAGCAATTAACAACCCGAGAATCCATCATTGGATAAGACCTAGCATTAATTTGGATGATAATAATGTTTTGTCAAATTTATATGGAGTAAAAGAAATGAATTTTGGAAACAGAGTATATCAATTGCTTTGTAATTCGTCATAATACGTATGTAAGAGTAGAAATTATCTTTGTTTAATCATAAAAATTTGACCGCTATCCACAAATACATGTATATATAACCCCAAATAAATATGACTCTATGTTAGTTCAAGTCCCAGAGATGATTCACAAGAAGCAGCTCTCGCGGCAAAACGTTTTGAGCGTTAAAGTCCCACATCGGCCGTGAGAGATAATTGAGCAAGCAAACAGGCGTATAAAATGAACACTCCAGCTCGTTTCTGATCATACCTTTCTCGGCCTTTTGGCTAAGATCAAGTGTAGTATCTGTTCTTATCAGTTTAATATCTGATACGTGGATCAATGGTCCACACGATATTAAATAATTTTTCTGGGAGGAAGGTCCATCACAGTAGCTTGCTACTGGGATCTTCGCGTGTCGCCCTAGTGTTGCACTACTGCTAGGGCTGGCGCACTCCACCAAAACGAGTAAAATTTCTAAATTACTGTATTTATAATTTTGAAGTTCTGTCTCAAACAAGGCGAACTTCAATTTATCATTGTAAGGAAATTTTGTCTAACTTCTGTGTGTTCATTTGGAGTTAAAAAATAAATTAATAAATATGATTATTCTCTCGGTAATCCGTCTCAACCGCATTATTTTCTGTCCAAATTTCAACTTTTCACGAAGTCGCAAAACCCAAATGAAAAAGAAAGCAGAAAACTCAAACAATTTCTTCTTACCAAAGAAAGGCAGGACGGCGGATAGGATATGAACATATCGTTTGGGACCATACTCATTTGACCCATCTCGTTGAACCATTAGTCATTTGCAGAAACCGACGCCAGATCTGACCAGCGAGAGAGGAGAGATTTCAGAGGAGTCGAGCGCGGTTGTTGCACAGAGGGGATGGAGGCCATGGTCCATGGAGATATCGAACGACAAGTCCGTTGTCGTTGCCAATGGCGGTGGTAGCCAGGCTGTTGCCAGCGGCGGCGACGGTTGCGATGTCGCTACAGCTGAAAGAAGAAGCTAAAGATAAAGAATTGGATTGTACTGAAAAAACGACGGCTTAGCGCCATTGTCGGTGATGGCCGCATGCCTAAAGGCGAAGAACGAGATTTGGGCGGCTGCGTTTGGGAATTTTTTTGGTTTCTAGTTGGGATAAGGGTTCCCCATATGTTCTGGAAGTGTTGTGGCACAATTTGTGACGTGTCGAATTAGGAAGTCCAAATGGGCAATGAAGTGGGCCCCGCGATGGTCATGTAGTCAATTAATTGAAAATGTAACAAATGTATGACATTGAAATGAAATTGTGAGTATGCATGAAATTGTATGTTTTAACGAAGAAATTGTAATGTTTTAAATCTTAACTTTGTAGACAAATTGATGTGTCTGCTGCAGTATAAAATTCTTTATGCTAATTGTTCACAAATTCAATGGTTTAGCTATTTAGACTCGGCGCTTTTGTAAGAAACTTTTGCTGTTTACAAGCATTTTAGTCCCACATCGACCAAAAACAAAGAAAGCGTGTTTTGAAAGTGAAATCAGGCTTCTTAACAATTTTCTCGGCCTTCATAATCAAAAGAAATTGAGCATGTTTCCCATCTCTTCTCGAGAAACAAGTGGGTTATGATAAATTGTGCTCAAATTCATATGCGGCAATTCCGTCGATATCTCTTCTTTAGTTGGAGGAAGAATCCGCACGAATCGGATATTTTTTGAGGAACATATATAGAGAGAATTGGTTACATAATGTGTGGTTGTTAAACAAGTATCGGTTTTTTAGCAAAGTACGGAATGCATCGTCAAATATTCAATATGATTCCACAAGATCTAATTTCGTTCAAGTTACGGATTCTCTTACCTTTTAAGGTGAGCCCATCTAATTTCTAAACCTAATCCACAAAGGAGTGATTCTCTAACCTTTTAATCTCTCTCTCATTCTCTTTCCCGTATTTAAAGGGTTACGAATAAGACATGTCACATCTTGTGTTGACTTTTTTTATAGAGAGAAAGACGAAGAGGAAAGTGTGAAAGAAGGGGAGGGAAGGGGATAGAATTAGGAGGCGAGGAGAGCAAATGAGATAGAATTAGGAGAGAAGATAATCCCACTTATAGACAAAAGGACGAAAAAAGAAAAATCGAAGAGAGAATTCACTTTGTCAACTAAAGATAACGTCTTTTAACATTAAAAAAGTTGTATCAATAACGAGTTTGTAACCAATTTATTCCCTACCCTTTAGTGTGATTATATCAAACTTTGAAAATTATGGATTTTTTTACCACAAGATTGAGGATTTGGAACTCAAAATTCTAATAATTTTTGTTTTGTGTTAATTCGGTGTTAATCTAGTTAATGGTGAATTCAAAAAGTTTTCTTACTGATTACAAGATGAAATTCGCACGTCACTTTACGTAGTTGTTATTAGCTCCTTTCCCTTGCTTATTCTCTTTAATGTAATGGCTACATAGTAGCTTTCCTTAAAGAGAGCATCAAAAGAACATTGTGAAATGTCATGAACTTTTATGTAGACCCGCCAAGTTTTATGAAGTTAGTATTAAGTGTCCAATTACTAGTTACAACTTAGTTTGAGATGGTTACATGTATTAATGCACATTTACCATCTTTAATAGGAAGCCTATATTTGGAGCACCCATTATATATTTTTAAGTAAAAAATGAGAGGTTTTATTCAGAGTATAAAAAAAATAGAAAGTGAATAAAACGACAAAAATTTTGTACCGAATTTAACACTTTTAACTTTTGATGCATTAGAATGCGGTTGTGGATGCTGAAGTCCCAAATTATAGTGTAGCAATTAACAACCCAAGAATCCATCATTGGATAAGACCTAGCATTAATTTGGATGATAATAATGTTTTGTCAAGTTTATATGGAGTAAAAGAAATGAATTTTGGAAACAGAGTATATCAATTGCTTTGTAATTTGTCAGAATACGTATGTAAGAGTAGAAATTATCTTTGTTTAATCATAAAAATTTGATCGCTATCCACAAATACATGTATATATAACCCCAAATAAATATGGCTCTATGTTAGTTCCAAGTCCCAGAGATGATTCACAAGTAGCAGCTCTCGCGGATAAACGTTTTGAGCGTTAAAGTCCCACATCGGCCGTGAGCAATAATTGAGCAAGCAAACAGGCGTATAAAATGAACACTCCAGCTCGTTTCTAATCATACCTTTCTCGGCCTTTTGGCTAAGATCAAGTGTAGTATCTGTTCTTATCAGTTTAATATCTGATACGTGGACCAATGGTTCACACGATATTAAATTAATTTTTCTGGGAGGAAGGGGTCCAACACAGTAGCTTGCTACTGGGATCTTCGCGTGTCGCCCTAGTGTTGCACTACTGCTAGGGCTGGCGCACTCCACCAAAACGAGTAAAATTTCCAAGTTCTTGTACTTGTAAATTTGAAGTTCCGTCTCAGACAAGGGGATCTTCAATTTATTCTTGTGATCAACAACGTTATATAAAATTTCCAGTTCCGTCATAAGCAGAGGGAAATTTTCTCTAACTTCTGTGTGTTCATTTGGAGTAAAAATTAAATTAATAAATATGATTATTTTCTCGGTAATCTGTCTCAACCGCATTATTGTGTCCGAATTTCAACATTTCACGAAGTCGCAAATTGAATTCAAAACCCAAATTAAAAAGAAAGCAGAAAAAACCCAAACAATTTCTTCTTACCAAAAAAAGTCGGGCGGATAGGATATGAACATATCGTTTGGGACCATACTCATTTGACCCATCTCGTTGAACCATTAGTTATTTGCAGACACCGACGCCAGATCTGACCAGCGAGAGAGGAGAGATTTCAGAGGAGTCGAGCGCGGTTGTTGCACAGAGGGGATGGAGGCCATGGTCCATGGAGATATCGAACGACAAGCCCGTTGTCGTTGCCAATGGCGGTGGTGGCCAGGCTGTTGCCAGCGGCGGCGACGGTTGCGATGTCGCTACAGCTGAAAGAAGAAGAAGCTAAAGATAAAGAATTGGATTGTACTGAAAAAACGACGGCTTAGCGCCATTGTTGGTGATGGCCGCACGCCTAAAGGCGAAGAACGAGATTTGGGCGGCTGCGTTTGGGATTTTTTTTGGTTTCTTGTTGGGGATAAGGGTTCCCCATATGTTCCGGAAGTGTTGTGGCACAATTTGTGACGTGTCGAATTAGGAAGTCCAAATGGGCAGTGAAGTGGGCCCCGCGATGGTCATGTAGTCAATTAATTGAAAATGTTATGACATTGAAATGAAATTGTGAGTATGCATGAAATTGTATGTTTTAACGAAGAAATTGTAATGTTTTAAGTCTTAACGTTGTAGACAAATTAATGTGTCTGTTGCAGTATAAAATTCTTTATGCTAATTGTTCACAAATTCAATGGTTTAGCCATTTAGACTCGGCGCTTTTGTAAGAAACTTTTGCTGTTTACAAGCATTTTAGTCCCACATCGACCAAAAACAAAGAAAGCGTGTATTGAAAGTGAAATCAGGCTTCTTAACAATTTTCTCGGCCTTCGTAATCAAAAGAAATTGGGTATGTTTCCCATATCTTCTCGAGAAACAAGTGGGCTACGCAAAATTATGCTCAATTTCATATATGCGTCAATTCCGTCGAGATCTCTTCTTTAGTTGGGGGACGAATCCGCACGAATTGGATATTTTTGAGGAACATATCTAGAGAGAATTGGTTACATAATGTGTGGTTGTTAAACAAGTATCGGTTTTTTAGCAAGATACGGAATGCATCGTCCAATATTCAATATGATTCCACAAGATTCTAATTTCATTCAAGTAACGGATTCTAGCCAAGGTCAAGTGGACCGCCTGACCAATTGATTGGTGACAACTTGTTATTGAGAAGTTTGGTAGAACGATGTAAGTGGATGACGAGGATGATTGATCATCAAAATCTGATGTTGCCATTGCCAAGTGCAAAACTTACGAGGGCTAAGCTAATTATCTTGACTTGAAGATTAAAGATATGGAAAAATGAATGATAGTTTTGATATGGATTAATAATTGTTACATCTATGTAAAAGCTAGAGTGTATATATTTAATTTTGATTTCTTTACACTAATGACAATTTTTAAAATTAGTATTTTTAATAACGCGCCTAAGCTGTTTCGGAAGCAAGGCGGCCATAAAAACATCTCTACTAAGTGGGAGTAGGCTTAAACTCGTCTAGACATGGTCGAGGCATGCCTGACACGTTCGACCGGCGTCTCTCTATTTAAAGGTTGCCTAAATATGGATTTTTATCATTTGAAATCTGAAAGTTTTAGTTGCAAAGCCATTGCAATTTGAAGAAGACAACCTTGTTTAGATTGATTTCTTTTGCTAATTTTTCATTTTCTCTACTATTTTTTGTTTTCTTTAACTTTTTTTCTCTTTAAACTGACCCACCGATTGTTGTTTTTCAGCTGTCCAACATATTCTTTCAGTACATTCTCTCATCACATTTCTATAAAAGCATCTTACATCTTTATATTATTTTTTCTTAAAAACGTGATTGGCCAACAGGAAAAAAAAGAGAGCATCTTTTTACTTTTATTATTCTTTTTGTAATGTTAAATATTAAATACTAGTTTCTTAAATGTTATATTATCCTTGTTTTTCTTACCAAATAATGTGTTTGCACTTTAACATACACCCCAGTATCTTACCGAAAGAACAAATTCTACCTGTGAACATAGATTTTATGGTGTGAATTGAGTTTTATAAAACATGCAAGTTATGTTAAATTTCGTTTGGTAATACCTTTTTTTTCTTTTTTTTGGTGAACAAACAGGCCACTTAGTAAATAAATAAATTTTGAATAGAAATCCATACTATTAAGAAAATATATAAACAAATAAATGAAACGGGTTGAGCCCCGTTTCTTTGGCGGGTCGGAACCGGAAAAAACAAACGGCTGCAAGGTTTTGGCTGGTTTTATCCTCATTCGCATGGTGTTTCCCTCTTTCTGCTAACACTTCAGTGGTAGTCACAGTCCCCAGAAAAGGCGAAGAAGCTGCTCTTCCAATGAACTTCAAATCCTTCGCCGCCCACTCTTTGGCGCTCCAACCCAGGGAGGCCGCCATGGCTGCGATTCAAACCTCCCCCTACCGGGTATACACACTCACACGAGAAATATATCTGTATTGGATATACACGCGCACACCAGCACTTATTTTGAACTCACAGTTGAGTGTTCACTTTCTGTTTGGTTCCCGAGAAAATGTTAGGAAAGACTAGAAACACTTGGAAGTTTCGGGAGGGCCTTAAAATTGTTCTGCTTTCTGTTTGAGATTTCGAGCTTCGTCTTCTTCCTACATTTGTCCCATGGTTTCTGGGAAAAGGAACGCAGGTTTCAACTGTTTGAAGAACGTTTTGGGTTGCTTTTTTAAATTTGTGATGATTTTCAAAGTTGCGATTTTTGCTTTTTTAAATTTGTGGTGAAGTGATGATGTACTTGAATTTGGAATTTCAGTTTGAGTTTACTAAAGTGGATTACAATTCGGTTTCATGTGTCTGCATAATGTTGCGATTTTTATCGGCATGTGAGAGTATGAGGCATTGTTAGGCTTTTTTTATTTTGGCGCATCAGTTGCTTGATGGAATGTCACACAGAGACTTTCGATGGCGTTCTCTATGGTCGGAGTTTTGAGTGTTTTTTTTTCTTTAATTCGGTACCAGATTGAGATAGAACAAATAGAAATTACGAAATGTATGCGGTCTCTTGTTTATTGTAAGTGAAATTCAAAAGTGAGAGAGCTGACAGAATTGATTTTTCAAGATTTGGAAACTGGCATTATTTTTTTCTTTCTATTTTACAAAGTGCAAAGGGAACTCTATAAATGCTCTTAACTTCTAATTGGAATTCGACAACCAAACCGAATCACAATGATGGTAATAACCAACTGTGAACAAATTGTACCTTACTATTAACAAATAAATTTAGATTCCCTTCCACAGTTCTGAATTGTTCAGTTTCTTTTCTTCTTCTGAACTTCTTTGGACATAATTTTTCTTGAAATAAATGGCTTGATTCATGATTGAGTTCAATTTCTCATTTAGACACTAGATTTGTATCTCATTTAACTCCATCTTAAATCTTCTTAATATTTTCTAATAAACAGAACTGACAAATTGTGTTGTACATGGATCAGGTTCTGTCGCCAAGAACTTGCTCATCCTTTAGGAGCACAGCTTCTGTTGGCTTATTTTATTTCAGAGATAGGTCTTCAGTTAAAGTATTCTCCCTCTTTAACATCGCACACTATTCTACGTATTCCAATGACGAGTTTGGTTCGTCCTCAAAGCGAAGATCTCGAGGACCTGTTATGGCCGCAAAGAAAGTAGCTGAAGGTGTTTTTCTGTGTTCTGTGTTATTATTCTTCTTTCAAATTTGGTGCTTGTAGCGTTGATCTGTCACACGATTTCTAGAGAAGTCCTTTTGAAGTATTTGTAATTTTTGTCTGAAAACCAAACGCAATATTCCTTTTATTCTTCTCCTAATTATTTGGGTTGATTGTTGTTGTTTAGGGAGAAAGCAAGAAGAGGGAAAATACAAGCACACAGTTGAGCTGCCAAAGACATCATTTAGCATGAGAGCGAACTCTTTAATGCGAGAGCCTGAAATCCAAAAAATATGGGATGACAATCAAGTGTTCAAAAGAGTTATTGGTAAAAATACAGGGGTGAGTTTCATACCATGCCTTAGATTTAGGTATCTGTGACCTGGCGTGACTTATTGGCAGACTTTTGCTTTCTTGGTCAGGAAAATTTCATTCTTCACGATGGTCCTCCATATGCCAATGGAGATCTTCACATAGGCCATGCTTTAAATAAGATTTTAAAGGATTTTATCAATCGTTACAAGGTATTTATTCCTCCTGTACTTATCCATTCACTATGATATTTTTACACATATTTGACATTCATTTTCAGCTGTGACTGTGAGTGAGGTAATTTGGATAGAAATTACTTAGGATTGACCAGTTTGGCTTGATTTGTCTTTATTGAGAGTGACCAATCAATCAAACAGTTGGACCACTCACAAACAAAGGTTTCCCTTGAAAACAACTTTGAAACTGAAAAGTGTTGGTAAACCAAGTTTTAATTAATTAAAAAGGATTGTTCCAGATCACCAATTGCTTACTAGCTTTTCGTATACATGCTTGGCCAATGTTAATATTCTAGCACATATCTTATATGTTCCAAAATGAATTGAACGCTTGCACGAGAATTTTAGCTCTCATTTGAAGAACATGGTGATATCTTGATTTCATTTGTTTCTGCAGTTCTTTTAAGTATCAGAATAGGTATAACATTACAACTTTGGATGCTGGTTAAGAAAATAAAAAAGCATGAGAGTTTCATGCTGCCTTACAG